AGAGGGAAAGGCAGGTGTGTGAGTTGGGCAGCCCTGGGTGGCAGTCCTGCCACTGTCACTTGGTAGCTGTGCCCGCGGGGTGCTCCTGGAGAGTGAGGGGGTTCACGTGGAAGTTTTTGTACTGCCGTGGCAGATGCTCACTCTTCTACTTCCTGCAAGTTGTTTAGTTGTTTAGCTTCTTGGAAGCCATTTACCCCAGCGCCTTCTCAAGGAAAAGAGAGAACGTGGACACACGGGAACCGCAACATGGTGTATCTGTGCAGTGGAATTGCATTTTGGGAGGAAACTCTGGTACAATCTGGGTGAATCAGGGAAACATGATGCCAGGTGCACCTGTCAGCTGGTGCTGCCCCAGCAAAGTGTGCATGCACACATACATGCATGCATATACACATATATATGCACACAGAATACATAGACATACATGCACACAGATATATACACATGCACACACAAACACATGTGCACATATACACACGCACACACAATATACACACATGCACATACATAATGTGCACACACATACATATATACACACATACACATGCACACATATACACACATACACATGCATACAAACACATACATATAAATATACATCCAAACACATACACATACATATATGGATGCAGCACACATAGACAAACATGCACACACATATATATACATGCACACATACACATGCACACACAAACACATGTGCACACATACGCATGCACACATAATACAGCATACACATATACACATACATAACATGCACATACACTTACATATACATACACACGCACACATATACACACATGCACATATACATATATACACAAACATACACATACATATGTGGATGCAGCGTGCACAACAGATACACACATACATGCACATACATGTGCAAACATGCATGTCACACATACACACATACACACATACACATACATACACATAGTTGCATGCAGCATGCATAACATAGATACATACACATACACACATATTCATACATGCTGACAAGACGTGTACACATGCACAGACACATCACACACATACACACATACACATACATATAACACACATACATATAGACACACATATACATATACACATATACATATGCATGTACACAAATGCACACACACACAGGTGTTTTCTCACAGTGCTGGAGGCTGCTAGTCTGCAGTGCTAGTGTCTGTGCCTGCCCTCCTCCCCGTGTCCCTCCTGTGTGTGTCTGTGTCCCGTGGACACTGCCTATGTGAGGCCAGGGCCCACCCCAGTGACTGCATTTCACCTTCATCCCCTCTTCAAAGGGCCCGTCTCCAAACGCAGTGCCATTCTGGGGTGCTAGGGGTTAGGACGTTAACACAGGACTTTGGGGAGACCTCCTTCAGCCCTGTAATTAAAGTGACGTGAACCAGACACAACAGGCGGATAGTATGTGAATCCTTTTATGTGAGGCGTGTGTAGCAGGCAAGTCCGTGGAGATGGGGAACAAGGAGCTGACAGGTTTGTGGGGGGAGGTGGGTGGGGGATCACTGCCTAGCAGGTGTGGGGCTCCTTTGGGAGGCTGTGAAGGTTCTGGGGTGGATAATGGCCATGGTGGTCCAACACTGCAGATGCACTCAAGACCACTGAGTTGTGCATTCAGCGATGGTGAATTCTGTGTTATGGACATTTTACCAAAGGGTCTGTCCAGCAAGAGATAGGGAAAAAGACCGTTGTCCACACAGCCTCACACGGTTCTGGTGTGGGCTGGGGTCCCGGCTGCCTTGGCCAGCCTCATGGGCCAGGTGGGTGTGGGTGTGGAGAGCCCCTCTGGGGAGGTGGCCAGACAAGTTCAGGGGTCTGAGATTTTATGTGACCCAGGCCGAGCCCTTAGGTCTTACTCGGGGCCCTGGTGACGAGAGTGCCACCCAGGTCCTGTCGCTTGCAGGGCAGTGCGCCGACAGGCGCCCGCATTTTTCCCTTTCTCTGTGAAGAAGGGGGCTTGGAGAGCACAGACTGAGACTTCCGCCCGAGGCACTCGGCTCTGGCAAGGTCACGACCTGCGGGAACCTCCACTTCTTCACCTGTGAATGGGAACAAAGCAGGATTGCAGGGTCCCAGAGAGATGCGGCCTCAGACCCCGGTACCTGCTGCGCAGTCGGTCCTTCACGGCCAGCCCTGGGGGGCCGCAGGCGCCTCTCTTGAGCCCAGAGTCACTTTCACTCTTTGAACAGATATGTAGTATGCACCTACTGTGTGCTGTGGAGGGAGGGCCCAGCCTGGGGCCAGGCACACAGTAGGCATGCTTCCTACTGTTGTGGGGCTTGCTTTCTGGTGGGGGAAACAGATTATAGACAAGCACAAATACCTGTAATTACAAATTGTAATTAGGTCTCGGAGGGGAGAGCCTTGGGAGCAGGAGAGAGATGGTGTGTGTGTGTGTGTGTGTGTGTGCGTGTGTGTGTGTGTGTGAAATGAAGTAGATCCTCGTCCAGGAGGGCCTCTCTGTGGCGGTAACGTTTACACCCAAGCCAGAAAGATGGGGAGGACACAGCTTGGCAGACTCCTGGAGCAGCGGCATTCTGGGCAGTGGGAACACAGCACCTGCAAAGGCCCCGGGGGAGAACAGAACTAGGTGTTTGGACTAAGTGGAGCCCAGCCCTTGTGTGTGGCCTTGGGTCCTGGACGAGGGGACAGGCACAGAGTGAAGGCTGTGAGGAGAGCAGAGGCCGGGTGGAGCAGGGGGCTCCCCACCTGAGCTGGCTGCTGCCTCGTGGTTTCAGGCCTTCCTGTGCTGGGGGAGTCTCCTGGCTGTACTTTCTTGTTTTGTGTCCAGGGTGCTTGGATGCTGGGTGGAGGTGGGGGTTAAGGGGCTGATGAGTGCCAGATAGGGGTCCCGGGGTGGTCCGCCAACACCCTCACGTCCCAGCTTCCACCTTGGAGCCAGACCGCTTCACGGCAGAGCTGGGCCTCAGTGTCTTCATTTGTGAAATGGGCAGAATCACATGAACTGGGTCTGAGCAGAGGTTGAGGAGAGACACAGTGCAGGGCACAAGCGTGCCGTGGCCCTGGTTGTGGCTGGCTGTGTGACAGTGAAGTATTTACGGTGAGTCAGCGTTGCACAGTGCTGGGTTTGCACCTTGGCCCCAGGGGCCGGCTTACTCACCTCTAGTACCTTGGCCACTGCGTCGGCAGGATGGTTGTTGTGGGAATTACGGAGCCAGGCCATGCAGGGCGCTGAGAGCAGTGCGTGCTGTAGGGCAGGTGCGAAGGGAGCCTACTCCACTCTGCTACTGGGACCTTCTTGCTGTGCTGTCATTTGGAACGGGGGCTGGGGCATCAGCCCTGGCAATGTCTGACGTCTTCCCGGGCTGTTCTCGGCATGCCGGGGCTGGCGGGGTTGCCATAAGCAGGCTTCCTGGGCTGCCTGCCTGGGGCCAAGCCCTGGAACCCTGTGCCACCAGCCACTGCTGACCCCCAGGGCGCGGGGCCAGTGGGCACGGGCTGTGGAGTAGCAAGAAGCCCTGGTGTCCCCTGGCTCGCTCCAGGCTCCTGAGATGGTGGCCGAGGGCCAGGGTGCCTGAGGGAAGGAGACAGCCTTTTAAGGAAGCGTTTCTCTGCTCTAAAAAAAAAAAAAAAAAAAAAAAAAAAAAAGGAGGGAGACAAGAAACACTGAAATGCACTGCAGAGCCCGCGGGCTGCAGCCTGGAGCTGGAACGCACAGCTGTGACCAAGGCGAGGAGGCCTCTGGGGGGCAGCAGGTCCCTGAGGAGGCCCCCGCAAACCCGGCTCTTTCAGGGGTGCCGCTTTCTCAAGATAAGGGACCTGGGCTCAGGACACCTGGGCCTCACTGTGCGCATTGGCTTTGGGGGGTCTGGGAGAGAGTCAGGGGCCACCTGTCCATTGCAGTGCACCTGCTACCCCACCCACACCTCCCCATGCCTGTCCCCATATGAAGTAAAGGGCGAGGATGTCAGGACTCCTCCAGGTCTCTTTGCTGGAGGGGCCCTGTCGTGGCAGATGGCTCAGAGAGGCTGATGCACCGGCTGCCACCCCTTCAGAGTTGGCCTGTGAAATCCCCCAGAGCACGGGACTAGCAGGGGTGGAGGGAGGGTCCAGCCCCGGGGGCTGCAGGGGGCTGTGGGCAGGGTGGTCTTGTCCACTGCCTGGGGAGGCTGCTGCCCTCTGTTTTGCCATCCACGGCTTGTGCCCAGACTCCCTCATGCCCAAGAAAGAGTCCCCCCACCCACTCTGTCCCCTCTGTGGGCCCCTTGCCTGGTGTTCGGGTCGGGAACTGCAGCCAAGGTTGAGGACTGGGCTCCAAGAAAAACCTGTCCCGGCTGCAGAAGGCTTGCGCCGAGGCCGTGGTCAATGCCCCTGCTGATTGCCAGGGCCATGGTCTGGCCGCCCCGCCTGCCAGGGGAGTGTTTTCTCAGGGAAGGGAGCCGCTGAACCCACCCTGCCCCGCTCTGTGTGGAGGCTCTAGCTGCCATCTCCTGCTCCCTATCCGAGCGAGATGTGAGGATGATGAACTTGAACTTGAGGAAGGTACTAGTTCACCCGTAGGCGGTGCATTTGCCCCTTGGGCCTGAGCTTTGAAAATGCCCAAGCCTGTGGCCCCCTCTACCGTGGGACTTTCCTGGGCACTGGGGAGCATGTGGCGGGCGCCGACTTCTCCTTTCCTAGTGGGTCTTTGTCACCGTTTCTCAACAGTTTAAGCCGCTTCTATCATGTTGCAGGACACAGGGCAGAGTAGAAACGCTGCCGATTCTTAGCACCGTGCTGTTAGGATGGCCGTGTGCTGACCTGCAGCTGGTCAGCGGCTGCATGGCTTTACGGAGTTCAGCTGCCTCTCGCGCCCCTGCCGCAGGCCCAAGTGTTTTCCCCTCGCCACATCTCTTCTGCCCTCACTACAGGTCTCAGTGTGCCCTATGGGCGAGGGTGTCTCACAAGGGCGTGGGGGGCACGTGCAGCTCCCAGAAGGCTGCAGGGGATGCTAACCTGCCCTTTCTCTGTGTCTCCCACAGGTGGCTGCCCCCTGCATTCCTCCATCCAGCCATGAACTGGTGGTGAGTACTGGCCCCCTCTCCTGTGTCCTGGGCCCTGTCCGCAGCTGTGGCAGCTCGCTTTAGGCCCAAGTGTGTTAGGAGGGGGAGGGTGGACATCCCTGGGCTGAAGCTGGCCCTGAAGGCAGGGAACGAGTCGCAAGGTCCCCCCTGAGGAGCTGCAGGGCCTGCTCATTCCTGTCTTGAGCCTTCAAGACACCCATAAAAGGGCATCTCGCGTGTCTCCAGGCCTGGCCAGGTGCCTGTGGTTCCAGAGCTCTGAGACCAGGGATGCTGTGACATCTCCCTAACCTGGCTGAGGCTGGGTCAGGGGCCCTTGAGCAGGAGGCAGGGGGATGGACCACATGACCCCCAGAGCTGCTCACCTGGGGTGTCTCTTACATGCAGGTGACCCCTGTCCTGCCTCTAAATTCCTGGGCTTACCTCTGCCCTCCTGTTCTCTATCCACTCCCCCCACCCCCGCTCCTCTGCCCCTCCCTCCTCCTCCTGGGGCTGCCAGAGTGGCCTGGACAGGGGCAGGACCCCTGTGAGTTGTGGATTGTGGAGAGGGCCCTGTTCCAGACGGATCCCAGCTGGGCTGCCTGCGAGTGAGGGAGCTTTCTTCCCTGCCTCCCTCCCACCTCCGCTCTCTCCAGAGGCCTGATGTGCCGCTGTGGTGGGGAAGGGGCTGCCCACCTGCATGCATGTGCGCGCGTGTGTATGTGCCTGTGCATGTGTGCATACACACATGAGTGTGTGCACACAAATATGTGCATGTGTATGTTCATGTATGTTATATGCCTGAGTGTGTGTGAATGTGTGCATGTGCGTGTGTGCAGGTTGTGACAGGGAGGAAGCACACTTTAGGCCTCATAGAAGTACCTGTGGGAGTCTTGATGTTAGGGGCAGTCTGTGGCCGGGGCGAAGGTATCATAGGGGCCCAGGTGGTCCTAGGTCCCTTACTTGCCAGCCCAGACCTTGGGTGCTCCACTGGGTCACCCAGTCTCCTTTTGGTCTGACACACACGATCCTGCCCTGGTTCTTTCTGGACCTCAGTTTCCCTCCAAAGTGCCTGGCCCTCCCTCCCTGTTCAGGGTGGTGATGGGAGGGCACAGGAGCGCTCAGGGCTCGCAGACTCCCTCCTGGTATGGGGGGGCCCTTCATGCCTAGGTCCTGCCGGGCCGCTGGCCCTCTCTGCAGGGGTGCCCTCGCCCGGCTGCGCTGCTCCAGATGTGCAGTGTCACTCGCACAGAGCCCAGGCGAGGGTCATCCGACCACAGCAGGAGCTGGGCGCAGACTGCAGCCTGGCTGGGAGCTGCCAGTGAGGAATCTGTGGGGCTGCCGAGGACACTGGGGGCGGGAGGGGGGCGTGGAGGGCAGTGGGGAGGGCTGAGCACCCTCTCTCCTCATTCCAGCGGCACCACCACCCTGTGCTGAGAACACAGAGTCCTTGGCCGCGGCTTGAGGCTGAGGGTCCAGCGTGGAAGGATCACCAGGCAGAAGCCAGGTGTCTGGCCTCTGTCATGAGCGCTGTTTCTGGGCTGCAGAGTCAGGGGCTAGGACACAAGGGACTGGCTTGGCATTCCAGCCGGAGGCTTGGGGTCAGGCTCCACGAGGGACTCCGGCCGGCTCCAGGCTGTAGGGTCTTCATGTCTGTGACGCCCCTGCTTTGCGGCCAGGGGCTGCGATCTTCCAGCAGGCTGTCAGTCACCAGGTGATGGGCAGCGACCTCTCCCTATCTGAGCTTCCCATACGTGCGCTGGAACCCACCTCCGCCTTGGATACCGGCTGTCCGACCCCCCAGGCCTGTGACCCTGAATACATTGTCTGACCTTGCTGGTCCTGGCTTTCCCTTCTTTAGCATGGGAGTTAGCAACAGCACCTACCCCATGCGGTTGTCAGCGAGCAAGGTGACAAGTGTATCTAATTAATCTGCGCTCACAACTCCAGCAACTGCTCACTTCACATGGAGCAAAGGCCGAGGTGTACCCACTGGTCTGCACGGCCCTACACGGGTTGCTGTCTCCCTCCCTCACTGTCACAGCCACTTGACCTTCTTGCTGGGTCTTGCACACACGAGGCTGCCTCTGGGCCCTTGCACTTGCTGTTCCCACCCCTCGGCATGCTCTTCCAACAGATGCCAGCAAGGCTCTTTCTCTGGCCCAGGTCGCTACTCAGGTGTTGGCTCTCCCCCTTCCTCTGCTTGCCCGCCCTCACCACCCTCTGCTGCACTGCATTGCGGTTAGGAACCTTGTTCAGGAGCCCGCCTGCACCAGCTTGTCAGCTCCCCCAGCACAACGGATTTGTGTCCGTCCGTTGCTGTGTGCTCACAGCCTTGTATGCAGTTGGCACTCTATACATGCTGCTTTGACTGGCCGGGAGACAGGCATGCAGCCCATGCCTGGCACACATTAGGTGCTCAATAAAGACTGCTTCTGCTCCCGTTCCGTGGCTGGCCCAGGAGAGTGGCCGCCGATTCTGCCGGTGACACAGGGCTCCAGCAGGCAGCTCCATTGCTGTCCCCAGGGAGTGGGAAAGTGGCCCAGGGGAAAGTGAGAGAGAAAGTCTGGCCCCCCACCCCCTACCCCTGGGAGCAGTCAGCACCTGTTTCCTCACCAGGCGGGGCGGGAGAGGCCGGTGCTTTGAACAGGTTCACAAGAGGCAGGAAAGGGCGGGTCTGTGTTTTTCCTTCCTTGTCCATCCGCTGCCTGCCCTTCAGCCTCTGCCGGGCTGGTCTCGGCCTCCCTGCCCCCTCCCTGTTCGCACACGGTGGGTGTCTGTCCATCTGTTTGCCTGTCGTGTTTGCTCCCTCTCAGTCTGGCTCCAGCTCTGGCCTCCTCATTGATCTTGCTCAAATCTTACCGGATCCAGGATTAGGACCCCCCCCCCCCCCAATCTCTGGACACAGTTTCTGCCCAGCCCCAGGCCCTGCCAGGCAAACACATTTTCCAGCCTGTGCCCGGGCAGCTGGGGCAAGGCAGCTTAATCTTCAACCCATGTTTTCATCTTACTCCAGAGACATTGCCCAAGGCCTTGGGTGGAAGGTTCCTGGGGTCACCGCTCTCCCGTGGGGGTCCCCTGAGAGGGTGACGTGGACAGGGGAGAGGACGATTTTGCCGCAGACACTCTGGGTCCTTGGAAAGAGCTGGAGTGGCTTTTCTCAACTGAAAAGTCAGAGTCAAAGGCATTTCCTGGGGGTCCTGCCCTGTGGGAGGCCCACTGAAGTCAGTCGGTTGCCAGGCCCGTGGAAGCCTGTGCAGCCCGGCACCCAGCAGACCCGGGCTGGGGGAGAAATGGCCCACGTGGCTTCTCCTGCGGGGGCTCATGGTGTCCCTGTGGAATGAACCCGAAGCTTGGGGCAGGGAGTCTGGGTGGGGGAGGGGAGTGGGGACCTGGAGCCGGCAGGCTGATTGCACCTGTCATGGTGCTGATGGCACTTGTGAAGGTAGTATGGTGGTCCCCCCTTTTTCTAAGGTTTCACTCTCTGAGATTTCAGCTACCACCTGAAAATATTAAATGGAAAATTCCAGAAATAAATAATAATTTGTACGTTCTAAGTTTTGCTCCGTCCTCAGGAACCTGATGGAATGGCTTGTTCTCCAGCCCCAGATGTGTGCACGCTGTATGCCGTCTGGGCCTGAACGTCATCTGGTTGCCATGGCAACGATCAGAGCTTCTGGTCTTACTTAGTGATGGTCCAGACTGCGAGAGCAGTGATGCTGGCTGTTGGGATGTGTGCACGGAGAAGCTGCCAAGGGCTTCCGTGAGGTGGGGAGGTGCAAGCTCTTGACCTGTGGACAGGGCTTGGTACCTGCCATGTTCACTGTTATGGTCTGACTGTTCCCCGTGGATAAGGGGCCCCACTGTGCCAGCCGCAGGGAGAGTTCACCCTTCTCTGGAGCTCTACCTACTGTGCTTTGTTCTCAAAGCTTTGCAAACATAACCTCTGCAGCAAGCAGTGTGCCCCTGTGTCACAGATGAGGAACTGAGGCCAGGCTGGGGTTTTGCCCTGGTAGTCTGGCACCAGGGTCCACCCTCCTAATCACCAGCAGTGGCAAATGCCACTGTCACCAGCATAGCATTTGCAGTTTCCAAAGCCCTCCTGTGGCCCTGGGTGGGTGGAAATCCCCCCAGTCCTGGGTTGGTAAAAGGAGCATTCGGTGCAGTGGAACAGGTGGGCTCAGAAGACCCTGGCCACGTGGTCTGGCTCTTGCAGCTGGCAGGGCTGCGTCAGGAGGGTCCCTGGTCTGCTTCCTCCCCAGGCACCCTTGCTGGCTGGTTCTGATGTTGCCAGGTGCCAGGCTGCTTCTGGGATCCTCTTTCTAAATAGCCTTCCTGTTGGCTGGGGGCCTGGGATTTGCGGGAAGGTCTGTCCATCCATGCACACCCAACCATCCTCCCAATAAATATCCCCTACGCACCTACTGCATGCTGGCCACTGTCCCATGTGCCTGGGCTGCAGGGGGCTCTTTGGCCAGAGTTGTCAGCATTTCCTGAGTGTGCATGGGCAACAGGTGGGCTGAGAGAAGTTTAGACTCCATCTGTCCCCAGCCCCTGCCCTGTGCCTGTTTATGGACAAGGAAACAGGCCCTGAGGATCTTAAGTGACTCTCTAGGCCCCGCAAAGGCACTGGGCAGCCTCATGAGAGATGAGAAGGGCAGCTGCTCGGGCCTGGCTCTGTCTTCTCGCTCGCTGTCCGTCACAGGGGCTGACAGGCACCGAACCAGTGCATTTTGTCCCAGGGCACTGAGAGGGCCATGAGTACCCATCTTTGGGAAATCCTGGGAAATGGAGCTTTGCCAGGAGGTGTGCCCCTTAGAGGCTGAGGGGAGAGGCAGACGCTGGGCGTTGAGGTCCCCAGAGGGTCCCCAGCATTGGAGGGGGGCGCACATCCCAATTTGTGTATCCCTTCATGGGCTGCTAGGCTTGGAGAAGGACCATAGGGGGCAGCTGGAGAGGGGCAGTGAGGAGGAGTTGGAAGGCGATTGGACTTCTTTCTGTTGCTTTCCAGGGTAGAACCTGGC